CACGCGGGAATCCTAGGTGCTGCAGTTCATTTTTTTTCCGTTCCTGTTGCGCCACCTCTTGTTCTGCTCTCAAACAGCAGACAGCTGCCACCCACAAAGTACAGAACAATCATGTCGTGAGGCATTGAATGTTCTATTGCATTGCACAGAGAACAAAGCGCCTTTGCTGGTTCTGTCGCGAGGTAGGCCGTCTAGAGATGTCCGCGACCCTCCTCGTCGAGCGCCTTGCGCACGGCGTCAATCACCTTGGCATGCACATCCTTGTGCGACGCTACGACGCCGCGGTTGTCGCGCAGCGTGCGTCCGACGCCAAAGTTGAGCTCCTTGCCGCGGATGTCCGACACGCGTCCGCCCGCCTCCTCGACGAGCAGCGATCCGGCGGCGTGGTCCCAGATCTTCTCGATGTAGCTTCCGTCGCCCACGGGCAGACGCAGGTAGACGTCGCCATCGCCCCGCGACAGGCTGGCGTACTTGGCCTGGCTGTCCATCCTCACCGAAGGCGCCGTGATGCCGAGCAGCTCGGCGATGCGTGCGTTGGTGCCGTGCGAAGAGTGGCCCGCCTCGACCGATTCGCAGAACGACGCTTCCGAAAGCGACTGGATGGAGCGCATCGAGATCTTTTGCTCCTCGCCACCCTCGATGCGTCGCTGGAACGCGCCCTGGCCGCGCACGGCGATGAAGAGCGTACCCAGGTCCTTGCGCTTGTCTCCGGCGCCGAACTCGCCCTCCTTGGGCTTGGGCGACGAGGCGTCGTGCGGCAGGTTGGGGCAGCCCATGACGCCCACCTGCACCTTGCCATCCACCATAAAGCCGAGGCACACTGCATACTGGCCGCCGCGCAGGAAACCCTTGGTGCCGTCGATGGGATCGAGCGCCCAGCATCGGCCCTTGTCGCCACCCTCGGCACAGCCTCGGTCGATGGCGGCCAGCAGCTCCTGCTCGGTCAGCTCACGGTCACCGCCCGCCAGCGCGCTCGACTTGGATGCCGACGCCTCGGCCTCGGCGACCGCAGGGCACTCGGCCGCCGAGTTCTTGAGCGCCTCGTTGGCGAGCGCAAAGATCTGGTTGCGCAGGCTCTCGGACTCGGGCTTCTGCAGGTCCTTGGAGTCCTCCTCGCCCACGATGGGGTCGTCGGGGAAGTGCGATCCCAGAATCGCGTTCACCACCGCCTGCGCCGAGTAGTCGCCCACAGTCACCGGCGACTTGTCCTTCTTGGTCACCGTGTCGGCGGTGACGAGGTTGCGGAAGACCTTGTCGGTGAGCGAGCATGCGCGCTCCACCGCCGAGATGGCGATGGCGCGCTCGAGCGCGTACGGTGCCGAGGAGGAGGAAGACATGTGGAAGGGTCGGTGCGTCGAAAGCAAGGAAAGTCGGAGAGGAACTCGGAATGATCGGGCAAGGATGGATGTGAGGAAGAGTGACATGCACTGCCTGGTGTCGAGTTGTGAGTGTTGTGCGAAGACTGAAGTGCCTTCGTCGAGAGGATGCGTAGATGGTGGTATCAGGAGTCGGAAGGCTGTCGACATCGGCAGCGACCACCGCTCGAGTCTGTGCGCATTCGCCCGAGACGGTCGAGACCTGCAGATGCGGGCATTTTTTTCCTGATCGATTTCTTCCGTTCTTCCGTCCGGCAGTGTCAGAGTCGGCGAGGGCCCGATTTAGGCTCGCTGCGCGTCATTGCATGCAGCGCAAAGTGGCTCATGGCACCTGCAAGCCGAGTCGTCACTGCCGCCGTCGGTAGACCGGCTGAGTGTGCGGATGCAGACGGTTGCCGACCAGATGACGGCGCGTTGCCGGCAGACCCGAGTGAGCAAAAGCATGCCTGCCTCCAGTCCGGCCGAGGTGATCTGCTGGTGGAAAGAAGCGGCGGACACGCGCTGCAAAAGAGGCGTGTGAAATGCGACCGTGCATCACTCTCTCACACTCGCAGCCAAGCGAAACCAACACCCGCGCTGACAGCTCACCGCTCACTGCCGCCGTCTTCTGCCTGACAGCGCCCCCTCACGCAATGCTGCAACTGAGCCCGCGCAATCCGCAGCTGCCCGCCGCTGTCCACCGGAGATATAGGCGCCCGCTCACACGAGCCCAGCCTTGCCTTCTGCCATCATCTTTGCTCGCGCATCCGCCGCATACACGATTCCCATCATGAACGCGACCAATGCCCACACCGACATCAAGCGTAAGTGTTCGATCGCATCCAACGAGCCGGCGCTGTAGATTTGGCCAAATGCTGACCACCCACTCGTTCTGCGATGGCTCCAGCGCTGGTGCGAAAGCTGCTTGACCGAGACCCCGTGCAGTTCAACGCCGCCGTCAACGCCCACTTTGCTCCGGACTCCACCTACGAGGGCCGCAGCCTCAAGATCCACGGCGCCAGCCAGCTCAAGCGCACCGCCTTGCTCTTCAACACGCTCGACCTCGGCAGCGCTGCCACGCTCGCCGACGAGGATATCCGATGGGACGCCGCAGGATCCACGGCCATCGTCAAAGCGACGCGCAACGTCCGTCCGCTCGCCTTTCCGCTTTTTGAGTTTGCCGTGCCCACCAGGATCACACTCACCTTCCGCGCCGACGACGCCGACGAGGATGCCAAGGGTGCGCTCCGCTGCACGCACTGGCACGACGAGTGGCCGCTCGAGTCGCTCATCACCCGGCTGCCGCTCATCGGCAAACTGTACAGCCTGCTCGTCGTGCCCCTCCTCACCGCCGTGTTCGTCTGGGCCAGCAACGTCGCCTTTTGGCTCCAATCGAAGCGCTCGACGATCAGGCACAAGCACGTTCACCGCGCCTCGCACGCCTACCACCAGCAGGTCAGGCCGCATCTGCCCCGCAGCCTCGTGCATGGCTTCGATGCAGGCGTGAATGCTGCCGAGAATGTCGGTCAGCATGCCGCCGGTCTGATCTCGCGCGCCTCATACGGCCCGCTCAAGGCAGTCGAGGAGCTTGCACGCACCGCGACCGTGGTGGCCAACCTCGCGCTGCCCGAACAGCTGCAGCTGCCCTACCCGTCGGTGTTTGCCCAACCCGCCGCTGCCCAGCCAGCTAGCTCGGCTGAGGTCGCAGTGGAAAAGCACGTCGCTGCGAGCGACAAAGACGGGGCCAAAGCCAAAGAAGCCCCTGCTGCGGCTGCACGCTCTGACAAGGCTGCCGTGCCGCCCTCGCCGCGCAACAAAGTGTCGGGTTCGCCGCACGTCCAAGACTCTGGCGCGACCGAACCGACGAAGCAGGCAGACAAGGCGGACGAGGACGCGTCTGCGGGCCATGCCAAGGTGGTGGTGGGCACGGGCGCCGAGGCGCGCGAGATCGACGTGGTGACGCACGTGGTGACCGAGCACGCGCCCGCCACCGAATCCGCGCAGCAGTCGCTGTACGACGTGCTCAAGAAGGACAACGAGCTGCCGCACGCCTCGGACAAGGCCAGCGCAGGTGGCAAGAAGAGCGGCGGAAAGAAGAAGAAGAACGGCGGTCGAAAGTAGGCCGCCTCGGCCGCGGTTGGATGACAGCCAAGTGGGAGGTGCACCTTGGGCGAATGAATCTATCAGTCTGACCTGGTCTCGAGTGGCGGTGCGGGAAGTGTGTGTGTGTGTGCGCAAAGCAGCGTGGTGGGATGAGGGAGAGTGAGTGCGGACACGAGGCGAGGCGTGTGTGCTCGCTCGCCCGAGTCGGGTGTGGAGCAGGTTTGGGAGGCGAGTTCAGATTGCGGTGTTGCCGTTTGCTGCTGTTGAGTCTCGCATGAAGCCGATTCCGAGTGCGATCTGGCGATTGTGCATCAGAGTCATTGTACCACCTTGCGTCTGATGCTGTGCATGCTTTCGATCATCGAGTACGGAGGGGTGGAAAGATTGCATTCATGCAGGGGGGGGGGGGGGGGTTTTTAAA